TAATTTAACCAACACAAGTTCACTACCAAGCTAAACCACTACAAATTAGTAAAGCTTGCTCTCCCAGGTAGTAACAATGTTGATGATCCTGCCATCTTTTATTCTATGGAACAATAACGGGTTTAACGACACCCAATGCAAAATTGTTGTAATGGGGTTGCTGGCCAGATACAAGCTGCTATTATTAATTACATTGTGGAAATGGTAACATAGATTTTAATGGTTTGAACTAATGATTCGGGTTAAATTGTCCTAAACCTGTCCATATTTTTTCTATTTTTTAATTTTATTAATTTTATTGCTATAATAACCTCCCAGGGTAGTAGTCCTAAACCTATGGAAGTAAATAAAAGATTCACCTATTGCAAAATGTTTTTCTACGTTTTGCCTTTTAGTTTAGCCCGTTGTGTCCTAAACTGTCCTAAACGACCTAAACCCTTTAGCCCGAATCACTAGTTTGAACACCTTATTTGTATTTAGAAGCAACTTAATGCTTGGTCACTCTCAATATGGTTTTCCTTTATAGTATGAGAATTTTCGTATTTATTTTGGATTTTTTTAACTGTTTTTTGTTAAAGGACTCACCATCAAGAGGGGGGTCACGGATGTTTGTCTTAATGTATGTAGAATAAATAAGTTATCAGCTCATAGGAAAATCGACTACAAATCTTTCGATTATCCTTTTGTGGTAGCGACGACATAAATTGAAACTTATTTTTCTGTATTCATTGGGGGTTAATTATTTTGTAACGAAAGAAAAAATTTTCTCATATTCTACATCATATGATCATATAATATTTAGTATATTCATGTCTAGAGAATTTGAATTATTGTATACATGAATGGTATAAAATAACCCCCACAAAAAAATAAATTGTTAAAGTATTTATAGAATTTATTACATGAAACGTAATATATAATAAAAAAAATTTAATTATCAGATCAGCACGTTATACCAATCCAAAAATTAAAGTATAAACTAAATTAAAATAATCAATAATTATGTATATATATAAATTTTTAATTTTATAATAAATTATAAAAAGTTACTAAGTAAACTTATAGCAAAGAACCAAATGCATCTATTGTAAAAAATTAAAATTGTAATTTTAATGAATATTTAAAGTTTAAATTTCAATTTATACATTAAATTTTTTAATGACTATTTAAATTTTAATTAACTATAAGTTTACTAAACTTATAATGATCATATTTGTCCTAGACCAGACTAACTTGTTATGTATTTGATGCCATTCCTTTTTGCTTTCGTAATATTATTCTGGCCATTTTGGCTCTTCCTGTTAATAGTTCACATATGGTATAAATATAATTGCTATATTGTTTTTTCGACTTGATAAAAATGGCTCGCATACAACAAAATATTTCTTGTATCAAAATATTCCAGACAAAAGATGTCACCTCAAAAAGAAACGGTTGAATCTCTCAGTATTTACGAGAAAAAATCAGGCGAGGTGCAGAAGTTTCTAAGTATGGTCAGAGTTTTCACACGTTCTGAATAATAACTTTAAATATGCTTACTTAACTTAAACCTTACAGATCGCCTGAGGCTTACAGGAAGTCCGTTTTTCTGGGTATTCACTGATAATGTTAGCACCTTGTAATATGACGACGAAGCTGTGTTTAACAATCTCCACTTTTTTAATTGTTTTGATAAAGGTGTATTTGAAAATTATAAAAATGACTGGGTATTAGTACATAACCAGAAGGTGAAAAAATTTGAGTCAAAATATATGAACCAGCAGTTGAGTGATCTCGAAAAAAAAAAATGCCTGGCGCTGTGTACCTACCAGTGGATATGTCACAACACGTGAAAGCCCGCCAGAGAAGATAGTGCATGCTCTACGTCTTATGGTGAAAATGAATATATGGTCTAAATTTTGAATATTTGTAAATATCAAACATGTACTTAACTATGATGTTTAATAATTTTAATAAAAGATTAGAATTCGAGTTAAACGAGTTGACGCAACAGAAGAATCTTCGATCTTTCTTGAATATGATTTTTGTGATCCTTTAAATAATAAAGGATACGGATCTGTTCCCGATACCGGTGCCCCCGAAACTATATTGCATTACTACATCCGTAGATAGTTAGGGAGAAGGGGTGGAGCAGATACTCTTACATTGCTGTTGGATATGGGGCACCCGCAACTTTGATTTTTGCCTCTGACCCATTTCTCGTGTCTATTGGAGACCGTATAAACTGGATAAGTGGATACGAATGAATGCACTTCAGCTCTGGGAACAAAATCCTGGTGAACAGGTGGCATTCGCTCTTGTCGAAAATGATATTCAAGATCAGCTTGCTTATGTGCACGAACCAAAACTTGAATTAAAATTTCTGAAAGAAATGCATGAAACATGCTTTGACTGCCTTTTTAGCCGAACTATTATAGCGGTTAAATTTTACTTTGTATTATTAAAAAAATTATGATGTGAGAGCTAGAATCATAGTTTCTCGTATTTACATTCTTTGATGCATATAAGATGGAATTTTAATTGCAACTCAACATTAAAAATAAAATATATTTCTGGAAAGTATAAACCTATATCTACTTACATGATGATGCTATTTATTTTTTATATACGTAATACGAAAAAATCAAATTCGCCTCAGTAGAAGCATAAAATCAGGTATCTTTATGTGTCGAAGACGCTAGCTTTCTATTAATATATTTTGTGATGTTTCCATATAGTCAAAATGTTTAATGTATCAAAAAAAATTTATCGTCCTTCCTCACTTATCTACTCCATGTGAGAGTGGTTCTTCTTACATCATGCAACTAACATCACTTTCGGGTTGATTACTAGTAATAACCTCATAAGATGGTGGTTGAAGTAATGATGTCACAATATTTTGTTCAGGATTTTCCACATCAGGATTGTTTGTATTAATGTTTATTTCATCACGGGTTAAAGATGGATAGGGTGATTTTTTTTGACTCCTCCTACTAATAACAGATATAACAGATGAATTTCGGATTCTCCCAATAGAAGATCTCATGCGTAATTCACGCTCAACATCCTCAATAGATGATGCTAGTGTTGTATTTCCATCGTCTCTATTTTTCCTGCGGTTTGAAGTGTTGATATTACGGATTCTATCAAAATATATGCAAAAGAATTAATTTTAAATGAATTACATAAATTTAATATACAAACTTCAGAATCAGAAATTCAACAAAATGAAGAATTATTTCAGGAATCTGGTCTGGTAATTTATATAATAATTTAAAATATATCATAATATTATAATTAATTATTATTTAATATTTTTTATGATTAAAAACTGTACAATCTCAAATATTATTCAATCATATTTTTACAAATACTATGAAAATTATATGAATCAACCAATTGCTACTTCTAAAATTAATCAAAGTGAATGAAAAACACTCTTTTCACATTTAAATAAATTAGCTCATAAATATTTGGCTATACCTGCTGAAACTGGTAATCACATTTCTAGTTATGTCATTTGATTTTTTATGAAAGTTATTGATATTTTTCCTCCAACTGAAGAATCTTGAATATATAAAAGAAATTCAAAATCATAATAATTATAATAAGAAAATGGTTGGAATTTACGTTTACCCAGGAATGCAGGTAACTTTTTGATGCCTCTTTTTAACTTTGTTGTGAAAATAGGAGGAATTATTGAGGAAGTGATTGTGGCGGTAGTGGCAGTCAAGATATAAGTCGCGGTGTCAGTAGTAATCGTGGTGCCGGTAGTAGACGGTGATGGTAGTAGTACATCTACATGAACAATGAACTGGATGAATGGTTTTAGTAACGGTGTGGCATGCTACTGATGATGACTAAACTAGTCATAATGAAAAGGAAGTTTCTATTAAATCACATCTTAATTAATTGAAAAATTACAAAAAAGAGAAATTTTCAAAGAAAAAGGGAAATCCTCAAACAAGAAATGCCATTCTATATTTTGTATATTTACCCGTATGCAGTACACCTCCAAAAGTGCCCATTAAACTAATCTTATCATAGAATAACATTACCAAAATTGCAAAACAATCAAAATAAATTATTTTTAGTATATTTTCAAATTGGATATAACTAAATTCAGGTGACTTTAAATGTCTTTCTTGGAAAGTAATATGGAATAAAATATAATCTCTATTTCGAAAAATCAATATTACTTTACATCTAGTAAGTTAATTATGTGAATGTGAAACAAGAAATTAGATTCAACAAGGAATGTAAAGAATTTTTCGTTCTTCATTCAGAGGACATGACAAGATCACGATATCATTCAAAATCAAATAAATAAATAAATCTTTAATTTTTAGTAAAATATATCTTTATTATACTTATATATTAACTTAAATGAAAAGGATATTTTAGAATAAACTTTTGAATGTTTTGATTTTGTATTTACAAATATTTTATGAAGAGAAAAATCATTATTACTATATTCAGAAATATTAAATAATTAATGGTTTGATCTTGTCTTATTAGGTCTTCTTAAATTTTCACGTTCTTTCATAATTTTACCAAAAATAGATCGTGGTAAGGAAAATGCTTTCTTTTTCAAAAGTCTAGCTGGAATTTCTTGAGGCATTATTGTGATTTGTTTATGAACTTGAGGTCTGGAAAATTTAGTTAATGGTTGATATTTTGCAATTAACATCCTTGGTTTAATGAGTATTACAACCTCAACCATTATATGACCATTGTTCTTTTCTGGTTTCACCATCTTGGTTTCTTTTATTGATTCCCTTAATCCCAACAGTCGATCATATTTAGCTAATTTTTCTTCTGCCTCTTTTAAAAGCTTTTTCCGTACATATTCTAATTTTTTATATCACTATTGCGAAAGGCATCAACTGATCTTAATTGTTTAGAATCTGTATTTTGTAATTGTTCAACAGCTAATTGTTGTTGATACCTTTCATACGCCAGGATTTCTTGTTCTCGATGTCTTAGTTTTTTCTCTGCGAGTTCGTGCCTATAATGAAGTTTTGCATATTTGGCATCAGATGTATCCTCCTATTTTATTGATTTAAAATAATGGCAGCATAAGCTAAGCTTATTACTTATAAATACAAATATCTTTCAATAATAACTGAAATTATCAACCTCCAAAGCATTATTTGATTTATCATCAACTTCCTCTTCCCAGATTTTAAATGATGGCACCATTATTTGTTCCCCCTCAACATTTCTAGAAAGTCCTTCCTTATCCACATCCTGATCCTCCACTACATCACATAATTCTTCAATATTTTCTTCGGGTGTCAGCATAATATAAGTATTGCCAGTGATAGTATCTGCTTTTTCTTCTAAAAGTTTCAGTAGCATATGTAAAGATTATGTAATAAAAAAAATTGTTTTAAATAAAAGTTTTATATACTTTGTTCAGCTTTTATCTTTTCCATCAATGCATTCATGGTTTTCCATAGATCCATATTCCCATATTACCAATATCTTTATATTTGATTTATCAAGTAAAAATTGTTCATGTGCAACAAAATGTGATTTTTAACCAAATAAAGAGTAAATTAATCATTTTTTGCAAGATTAAATAAACGAGTACGTACTAATAAAATGTAACACAATTACTATTGATCATGTAAGAGATATTAAAAACTTTAAAGATAAAATTAAGAAATAATTTTTTACAAATATTTTAAATTTGGTTATACAATAATTGTTATAAAAAATGATAACGTAATTTTTTGATAATTAGTATTTCACAATACACCCCCTCGAGACCGAAAAAAACAGGTGTTCTTATACAGGAGGTGATTGTGGAGGGGGTTGACTGTATAAATATAATTAAAGAATAAATAATTTCATTTGCTCTTTAAAAGGTGAAATTATTAGAAACCTTGATATTTATCTTTATTATTAATGCTTAACTTAAATTTATTATATATAGTATTAGATTAAATGTGCTAGAATTTCACTTTAATTTATTTAAAAGAAATGATTTATTATTTGACCAGAATTAAGAAATAAAAAATATATTAATAGTCTAAAAATAAATTATATTTTAGAAGATTTCTAAATATCATTAAGAACTGGTACATTAAACATTATATATAATAAATAAGTAATAAATAATACTGTAGTTTATGCAAATCCAGAAAAATCACTTTTCAAAGAGATACTGGGTCCTTTTGTTAATTCTATCCTTTCATTGTATTTTCTTTTCTTTTCTTCTTGTAACTTTTGTTGTTGTTGTTGTTGTTGCAAAACATTAAATCTAATTGCTGCTTCTAATTTTGATTTTTGATTTGGAGGTAAAAATGTCACTACTTCTTTAAAACTTTGTGGTTGTAACCCTGCAAGTGATAGTAAATGTGTCACAGAAATTGTGTGAAATGCTGGAAGCCCTTTTGTTGAATCTTCTGATAATAAATATTTTTCGAGTGGAGGTTCAGCCAATAAATAAATTAAGACAGGTAATGTAATTCTCATTATTATTGTTTCTATAAATATTTTTTAAAAAAAATAATTAATTATTGAAATAAATAATGTATCATGTTATGAAAATTTTTTATCCTTACTTTGTGAATCCGGTATCACTGTATTTATGGTCAACAAAGTTTTGATTGATTCTTCCAAAACATTCAATAAACCAATACTTTCTTCTGAAAATATTTCATTTACATATTTATCATTCATATTTTTTATAAATGAAACTGTATGAGGTATAAGAATTTTAGTAAAATTATTACTAATTTCTATGGATGCTATGATATCATTACTCGAAGATGGAAGTTCAGATAGTTTAGATGAAAACAAAACTAATGTTCGGATACACTGTAGCGAAGTAATTATATTCTATATATATATATATATTTTTAAAAAAAATATTTGAAAAGAAAAAATTAAAATCAGAAGAAAATTATAAGCAGATACAGATTTTAAATATGAAAATACCGTTACCGTGCGATCGTCTGAATAGAGCACTTTATTTAATATATTTGCAAATTCTTTTTGCAATGCATCAAATCGAACACATGATTTCGGGCAAGAAGTAAAAAGCAATGCTGTAGCCAACATACTATTCTTTATTATTGAAATATTAACTTCATTCAATACATCTGGACTGAAATTAATTAATTTAAGAATCATTAAAGAATTTAAATAAAAAATTGAATATCAAAAAAATAAACAAGCAAATAAATAAATAAATGTAAATAAATAAATAATACCAACTTTTTTAAAAGTGAATTGATCTTAATTAAATTCGATGATATAGTTAATTGAATAATTCGAGAAAAATTTTCAAATAAGTCTTCAAACTGTGATTCTATATTTGAACATAATAATTTAATGTTCACAAGTACGCGAGGTACAAGTTCTTCCTGGAATCTAGAATCATGCAAAATGGCTTAAAGAAATATCCAAGATAAGTATGATTTCCAAACACCGATCATTTATAAAAAATGAATTTGATTTAATAACTCACATATATAAATATGAAATGCAACTGATATTAAATCAATTTTGAATTTTGAAGGAATTATAGAAACAAGTGACGTGAATGCTTCTAAAGTAAATATGAGGAGAACTGTTGTCTCACGAGTTGTTTGACCTCGCGCATCTCCTGAATAAAATTATTGAAATATTACGAATATATTAAAAATTTATATACAAAATAGCTCAGAAATACTTACAAAATGAATTTATATTTCCAAACCTTGTGGAAGGCTAAATACTCTTCTCATTTCAGATTGATCAACAAGTGAAGGAATTTTTTGAAAAAATATATTAATCAATAATTTTAATATACGAAAGAGAATTGTTTTCGTTATGTCGTTGTTGCCAAAAAACCCTTCAGAATTGGATTTATCATCCCTTTCACCATTGACGATTTTCCTGTAAGATTTTTTTTTTAAAAAAGTATAAAATTAAATATTAGATAATTTTTTTGAGACAAGTAGATGAAGATAATAATAATACTATACGTTGTCTTGTTTAGGTCTTCACTTATATATGTTGAACCATAATCTTGAATAATATTTTTTATTATTTGAATAATATCAAGTTGTACTTGAAATCCTTCGGTGAGCAAAAGCCGATCAAATAAATTTATTAATTCAATAAATATTGGTTTTTCCAAGAAATTTTGACCGGCTACTATCGGTCTCAAAAATGATTTCAATGCATTAATACAAGTTTGTACAATCTTTTGATTTTCCGCATTATTTGAAACACCACTATTACGACCACTTCCACCAAACGTATTGGACAATGCTTCGACACAAAGTCCAAAGAGAATAAAGAAATATTTGGCGGAATTTTTTTTGGTTTCAAGCGCCTTTTCTTCAGAAAAGGACTCAAATTCATTGGGAAAATCATTAGAGTCGTTATTTCCAAAATCCTCAAAACTCTGAAATTCATTTTCCAAACTACTTGAATCATCGGGTTCACATTTCTCATCATTTAAAGCAGATATTATATAATTATTTTTATTCTCAACTAAGCTTGCTACTGCTCCAATAATGGTTAACCAAGATTTATTATAATACTAATGGATAAGATATTTAAAATTTTGTATCTATTAGTGATCAAATTTCTATTAAATTCTAGAAAGATTAAAAAAAAGTGAGGTAAATACCGGAAGAATAACTTCTCTTGTTAAACCACTGTACATTGAATCAAAAACTTCTGTATGAGAATTCTGCAAAGATCCGGTACCGACTACATTAACTTGCGCATCGGTAATATCTGTTTCAATTTGAACTCTAGCATATTCTTTTAATGCACATACCCACAAAGGGCATAATAATGTCAAATTTCTATATGATTAACAACGTCAAGAATAAAATATTCATTTATTGTCAATTAGAATTTCATTAATACGTTGCCATGTTTCCCTCAAAAAAAAAAGGATACGGTTGAACGACTTGAACCAAATATGTTTGTTTAATGCTAGCCACTTGAAGTTCGGCCCAAGCATTCAATACAGAAAGTTTTATCATAATTGCAGCGTGAGGACTAAAATTTTTTACATCTCCAACTTCAGTCACACTTAAGTTATCTGTAAACAATGGAAAGTTAATATTCAATTGATTTAAATGAGAATTCAGAAATCATTTAACAAATAAACATATTTGTTACCTTTGCATTTTTCTAATGCAGTAGTTAGAAGCCTTAATATGCGTCCCATTCGATACAATTCTTTGACAATACCACTTCCAACAAACACTGCACATACTTTTACAGCAGCGGAAAGAATTTCTGGAGAAGATTCTGCTGTAAAAGCCGGAGTTAATGCTGCACCGATTTGAGCCTAATAATATTTTGTGAAGGATATTGAATATGAAGTCAACAAAATAATTTAACGAATCACGCATAGCTACCTGGTATTGTTCCAAAAGCGCGGCCTCCTCAAAGTCAGGATCAGAAGTAGCAGCAAATTTCTAAGTAAGAAAAAATTTTTATGAGATTCAATTGTTTCGTGTAAAAAGATTATTAATAAAAATTTGTTAATGGCAAACCTCAATCACATCTCTCAACACAGTCAAACCTTCTAATCTCATTTCGCTAACAACTGCCGTAGAGGCAGTAAATGCCATTTTTATCAAATCCGCAACTCTCAATACCAAATAATCTTTTCCTGATTTTTTAGCAATTGCAAGGTCAAAATGTCTTTTATCCCCACTCAAGTGAATAACTTCAACTACTTGACGAAGACATTGAAGTGCAAATAATTGAGTTCTCCATCGAGGAGGAATCTCTTGCGCTTGTTGATTACTTTTCACGATATTATGAACTCTCTGTGAAGTGTCTACAACGGTGTTCACTACGGACTGATCAATCACGAAGCCGTCATCATCACCAACGTCACCCATGTCTTCCTCAATAATATCTAATGAAGGTGGCTCGATTGGTGCACCTGCACTAGCGACTGATCCCGTTTTGGACATAATCTTACGACATAATTCCACCCAAGTAGAAGGACTATCAAGCGCGGTTTGATTCAGCCAACTCTTGACAATGTCCTTTACTCCATAAACCGTAGGATCAGTATCGAGTAACGAAAAAAGTTGATTATCTAATCCCGATACTGCTATTTCAAAAATATACTTTGCATCTCGTTGTACTAATTGATAAAGACACGTGATTGCAACTTCTTTCAAAGGTAAATTCATACTTGAAAATTGAAATTGTAAAAATGCAACCAATCGAGGTAAATCTACATGTTGTTGAGCAAACATGGTAAAATGATGAAGGCAACGTATTGATTCAACTACAACCAATTGTTCATCATCATTTCTAAGTTCAATCATGAGATTAAGACATAAATCTCTTATCTTTGAATTAATTTGTAATTCCGGACCTAATACTCCAATAATACCATAAATAATTTTACCAAATTGTTGATAAGCTGATAGACCTAAACCAACATTCGTGGTTCCAACGGAGCCACTACCAGGTTCATGAGTATCAGCCATATAAAGTTTCGCAATAATTCCTAAAGTACTTTTAACATATTGTGAAAACATTGGACCTGCTGATTCCACAATCTTTGCCAGAGCATAAAGTGCCCAGAAATGAACTACGGGATGAGGATCATTGCTAAGCGATAACAAAATGCCAACCAAAGTTTTAAGATGACCACTTGCAGCTAAACCGCCAACGTAACTGTAAATGCTACCTAATGCTAATGCACTTCCTGCCCTTGCATCCGGATCCCTATTATTAACAACCTGATCAACAAGGAGTTGCATTTGTGTTGGCACCATATTTCCTCCAACAACATTAAGTAAGCGTCCCAGTGCTTCGCAGGCAGCATTACGCAAATATGCATCGGGATGAACTATTGCTTCCTAAATTTCATTTTCAATTAAAAAATATTTATCAATAAATCAAAAATATAAAAAATATAAAATACATTTTTATGATGAATCCAAAAAAGAAAAAAAAAAAAAAGAAAAAGGGGGTAAAAACCTGCAATAGTTCCATAGCTAAAGCACCAACTTTTTTGTCAGCCAAGGCTGGCACTGAGTTTTCTCCTTTTCTTCCAGAAACATTCATAATATTTTTGAAAATGGCTAATAAACAAATAACCATGTTTACTTGAACCGCCATTTTCCTTCCAGGACTTTTTTCTAATTTAGGATGTCGAACCGCCTTAATTAATTGTTCCAGATAAGATTCCTGCAATGATGCATTTTGTAATGGAAATACTAATGCAAAGAGCTCAATACTATAATCCACAAGTGAAGTTACTGCTGGAACAGGTTTTGGTAAGCTCAATGAATCAGAATTAGAAGATGATACCCAATTTACTGTGTAAATTCTCAATGGGTCATGCTCCGGAGCTCCGATTATTGGTTGTTCAAGCTTATTTATTTATTATCCAAAAAAATAAAAATAAAATAAAAATAAAATAAAAAATAAAAATAAATCGCAAATACCACAAATTATATTAAAAAAAAATTTCAGTCGCTTACTTGATTCTCTAACCGACTTTCAACCAAATCTCGATTTAGCCAATCTTTGATTGCAACTCTACTATTGTTTTCACTTTGAACATCATTAGCAATGTCAATGTTCATTCCTTGTAATCTACTTGCAACTCCGAAAGCACATTCATCTCCAGCAGTCCATACATTAGTAAATGATCCAGACACCGCAGCAATAGCCGCAGTAATAGCTGATCCTAAGTACTTCTCCGGATCAGCAAAATAGGATAAGCAAAATTTCAAAAGTTGAGCACTTATATTATCATAGGACGAAACTGGTCTAAGTGCAGCAAAACATTGTAATAGTCGACGTTTTAATGACGTTTCGCGATCAGAAAATTTTAATGAAGCTGATGAAGGAAGTTGTGGAATTATTGAAGTAGTAGATCCATTAGGAGTATTTGTATTCGAAAACGATGTAGGAGTAGATAATATAAAGGTTAAAGTATTGTATAATAAAGCGGAAAGCCTTTTGGCCACATCGGGAGTTATTAATTTTGAATTATGCATTATACAACTAAGCATCGCACTTAAAACGCATTCTCGTACGTGATACATGAATGACCATTCAGCTTCTGTACGATTCGTAATTGATTCTTTCGAAGTTAATTTTGGTAAAGCTATTTTCCATAAAATCAACAATTGCGGAAGATGTAATTTGACAAAATTCGGACCCAGACACATTAACGAGCCAATTAAAGTCCACGCAACTTGAATTTGTACACTAGCTATTGCGTGATCCTTGTTAGCACTTGATTTTATTAATTGAGTTGCCAAGGAAAATATACGGGCACTTAATTCAAATGAAACATCTAGTGGACGAGCAGGTACAACGCTTAATAGAGCCGCTAATCCATAAACATGTCCCAATGTTCGTTTTGGTAAATCTTGCGGTGCGGACTGATTCGTCAAATTGTTTAAATCTTTGTTAATTAATGTAAGAACTTTTATAATAAGTTCAGATAATTTTACAGGTAAAGAATAACATAAGCATCTTAAGCACCATGCAGTAGAAATTTGTACTGTATAACTCGTGTGACTTAAAAGCGTAACTAACGGTTCCACGAGCACATCCTGTGAAGATTATAAAAGTTATTAGAATTTATTAACGAATCGAAAATAAAAAAAATTATTAATTACAGTATGGATTTACAATACCAAAACAGTGCTTGCAGCTCCTCCCAAATCTAATAGTAAACCAGAAATTTCATTCACGGCACATACAAGAGATAATTTGGAAGGTTCAACCTGATTTTGCGCGGGCCATTGTTTGACCCAACTATTTATTAATTCTCTAACTGCTGTAACTTGACCTTGCTCACTTAAAAGTCTTGAACCAATAACTTCTCGAAGTAATAATTCACAATGTTCACGAACATTAAGGGCCTCGTAACGTGAATTCAAGTTTCGTGGATGAGACAAAAGTTCTTTTAACAAATGACGCGTTATTATTGCGTAATTTGATTCCACATAAGTAGTGCCCAATTTTATGAAGAGGGCTGCATAAGCCAGAATAATAGCAGAACGTACTTCTCTGGTACTTGATTGCTTATTATAAATTGAAGAAAGATGAGACAACATTTCTTCAACAGAAAACGAAGCTCTTATAGGTTCAGGAGGTTGATTAATTGTGGGACTTCCCGGATTTTGAGATGTATTACTATGTGAGGTTAAATTTTTTTTTGGTAACATTGATGAAGCAAGAAAGTCTACTTCATCCTGTGTTCCTGAAAGTAAAATAGCTATATAAGAAGCAACTGAACGACGGATTATCTGATTTGACCCTTCTAACACTTTAAACATCGAAGAAAGTAATTGCTCTAATTCACTTTGAGTAATTGGATATTGTTCATAGGTATATTTGGCTATTGCGCACATGCACTTTAAAAAAAAATAAACATATCAAAAATAATGATTCAAAATTTTCAAATTTTCAATAAATTCAATAAAAGCATTCATTTGCATTAAATGTAAATAAAATACCTCAATGGTTGCAACTTTGATTATCATAGCTTTGTCATTTAATCCAGATTTCAATTGTTTAATCATATCTTTCACTAATAATTCCGTAACACCTTTAGCGGATCCTTCGAGTCCTCTCGTCATAGTGTTTATGGCTTCTAATCGAATAATTAAAGGCTAAAATATAAAAATAATTTTTGTAATTTAATATTTCAAATAAATTTAAATAATTTTTCTAATAAGCATAAAACGTTTTCTCAATATTTTATACTTTGGATTAAACTTGATTACCAATACTAACGTTGGCAGCATTTTTGATAACTTTAAGACAAATGCCAATCGTTTCCGGAAATAAAGATAAAATTCGATTCCCAATTGTTTTTGAAATTATCCCAATACAATGCAATGAAGCTCTATATAATTTATAAAATTTTTTATTTAAAAATCATGAAAGACAAATTAATAATATTAATAATAATATTGAATTTAAGTTGAAATAAAAATTTAATGCTTACAATTTTGAGTCCTTTTCCCCTACACCTTTTCCAGCACTGACAATACTTTGTAAAGCAGTAATTGTGTCAAATAATGTTCTTGAATCTCCTTTAATATAAATAATTACGAAACATCTTGCAATTAGCTGACGAATAGGTCTATGTGGTTTAGGAGAAGCCAAGGAAATAAATTTTAATAATTGTTTCTCAAGACTCGCTTGGCATGTTTTCAAGGTTTCCTATTTGAATTTAGAAACAAAAAAAATGTGCTATTGAAAATATTTTTATTATCATAATTTATAAATAAAAAATCTTTTTTTTTTTTGTAAATACTTTATCGGTCTTTTTTAATTCTCTTTCTAAATTGGATAGCCAGTTAAAAACATATAATTCTTGCTTTTCAGGATTAGCGGCATAATTTGAGAATTTTTGTTCATCGAATTGAAAGGGTTCGTTAAAAATGGGATTTGGCGAATCGCGACCAGTTGTTCCCGAAATACGAGGAGATGTCATTTACTCATTACGCCACTCAATATCAGCTTTTCATATATTGTACAAGCCACACAAAAATCAACTTCGAAGTTTGTGTACACATTCGGTAGGGAACACTACCACGTGATGATAAAATATCATTTTCCCGAATCATGTTACAATATTTTATACATATGTATATAAATTACTCTATTATTATTATTATTATAATATAATATATTGTTTTTTCTATAGGTAAAAAAATAGAAAAAATAGAAAAACACATATATATCTTGAGGGCAATTAAAAAAAATATACACATATAATATATATATAATTATCAAATCAAATATAATAATTACATCATAACCTTACAAATCTAAAAAAATTGAAGATAATTTATTATTAATTAATTAATAAATAAATAAATCTAAAATCTAAAAATAATATTTAAGATATAAACACTCACGTGGCATCAATTTGTTTCAATTGCGGTAAATAAGTTTTCACTTTAAGTCGATAAGTAGCTTGATTCTCGGATTGAATTGGATTTCCTTCGAAATATACAGTTGTTAAATTTTCAAGGTTTTTTAATTGTGAATCAAGTTCTTCGAAATCTGATAATTGATTATTACTGGCCTGAATATAAATGATTATGTAATACAATAATGGACGAATGTGTATGTGATGAAATATCAATTTAAATTGTGTGAATATAAATAAATATTATAAATATTATCAATATTATAACGGAATATCAAATTTTACTTACCCAAAATTCTTCTAAATTTTTCAAATGTGAAATATTTTCCAATTTATTAATAAAGTTATTGCTAATATCAATAACTCTTAATTTTAACTATAAAAAGTATAAAGAGAGAAATAATTTAAATATATGTAATAAGAATGTTAAAAATAATAATAATGATAAACTTATATAACACACACGTTATTCTCAAATCCTTCAAGTTTCTTAATTCCATTATGACTAAGATAAATTTCTTCTAAATTGATTAATCCTTCTAATCCTTTAAGTTTGGTTATTCGATTACTTTGTATACTTAAAATATTAAGATTTTTCAAATTCTCTAGATTCTAAAAATTAAATTACATATAATCGAATTAATATTAATAATAATAATTATTATTATTGATAATTATAATTATAATTGATAATACCTGCAATTCCGTAATTTTATTTTTTCCAAACCAAAGTTGTTCCAAATTTACCAAATTTTCCAAATTTTCAATTACCTATAATATAAATAAATGTAATTTGAATATAGATATAAATATGAATATGAATATAATCTTTTAAATATAAATAAATGATAATATCAAAATATTATATTAACCCGACCCGAATACGATTAGCGCCTAATTCCAAATTAATTAATTTTTTCAAATGACCCAGATTTTCAATTTTGGTGATTTTATTTTGAACAAAATATATATTCGTTAAATTTTCGAGATATTCCAAATTTTTGATATCTCGAATCTTGTTAAATGACAAATCCAATGATCTGTACGTCAGATATGATTTATATGTTTGTTATAACAATGAATCAATGAATTAATTGATTAATTAATTAATTAAATGATTAATCTTATAATAATAAATTGAATAATGAATTGAATCAAATCGAATCAAATTGAATTGAATGAATTGCTTACTCCAAGTTAGCCAATGTTTTGAAATTTTCTATATCCGATATTCGATTATCGTATAAATCTAATTCCTTTAAATTAGTTAATGATTCGATTCCTTCGATTTTGGTAATTAGATTTTGCCTAAGGCATAATTTCTAATTATGAATAAATTTTTAAATAATTAATTAGTTATCAAAAAAAAAAAAAATTATCAAAAATAAAAATTATTATTATTATAAATTCATTACCTGTAAATTCTTAAATCTACCTAAACCTAAGCTCGTTATATCTTTAAGACGCAAATGTAATAATTCAATTTCCTAAAAAAAAAAAAAATTAATAATAAAAAATAATTACAGATGATAATAATAATTTAATTAATTAACCAAATAAAAAAAAAAATAATAAAAAATAAAATAAATTAAATAATTTAAATTAATTTATAAAAATTAAATTAAATACTTCGGTATTTTCTTCATACCCCGAAAGAATATCAACTAATAAACATGTATACGAAAGAATAATAAAATATTAAATTAATTAATACGCCCAAGATCTAAATAACAATAATAATTTATTTCATTAACTTACCTTCTTCTTCTACAGCAGTCGTTTCTGTCTCTTCAATTTCATCTTCAGCACTAGAAGCCATTATAAATTTATATTATGGATTGAATTGTTATATTGCGAACGTTATATTATGAATCGTTATATATTGTATTATGAATTTTATATCGCGATATACATATATTCATATTATTATAATGATGATGTACAAAAGATTATCTGTTTTAAATTTCTAATTTCCAAAAAAAAAAATGCAGTATTTCTGCTATATATCATTATTTTCCGTTTATTCAACAAAAAAATCTATTCCCAAATCTTTCATTTTTATTTTACGTAACAATTCACAAAGAATTCGATTTTTTTCCTGTTCAGTTTCTTCTTTTACCCCCAAAACCAATCATCATCATCAAAAAAATTTACATATTCAACAAAGAATTAGAAATTTATTGAATCCAAAATTAAATATAATCAAATTTTGTGATAATATTAATGAGGATAATAATAATGAAGACAATAAAGATAATAAAGATAATAATAATAAAGATAATAATAATAAAGATAATAAAATTATAGTGAAATGTGAACAAATACCTCTTCGTTCCATTAAAAAAATTACATTTCAAGATATAATATTAGAAATAAAACGTAACATTATTACTACATTTATGCCTAAAGGTTATCCCGAATCTGTTACTAAAGATTATTGGGAATTTACTAAATGGCAACTTATTCAAAATATTTCGGGATCTTTAACTGGAGGTAAAAAATTTATTTATTTTTTTTTTCATTTATTATTGATTTATTTATTGAATTGATTTATTTTTTTGAATTATTTATTGCATTATTTATATTATTTTTTTTTTATGCATTATTTGCTTTAATATTAGTTTTATCTACACAGTCATTATTATTCGCAATGGGATTAGGAAACAAATCAATACCTGTGGGTCATGAAATATTATAATATTGATGTATTTAATATTTCTTCTATCTTTTATCTTCTATTGCTTCTTCTTTCTTCCATAATTTATTCTCCTATAATTATTCATCTTCTCCTATAATTAATTACTCTTTAATAATTATTTATTTTTTTTTTTAAAAAAAAAAAAAAAAGATGGCAGCAGCTTTAAATTGGATTATTAAAGATGGATTAGGTCAATTTGGAGGTGTAATTTATGCAGCATTCATAAATAATCGATTTGATTCCGAACCTAAACGTCATCGATTTCAATCTATTGTGGCCATGCAATTAGCTGCTTTATTGGAATTATTTACTCCTTTATTTCCTGGAATGTTTTTATTTATAGCATCTATTTCAAATATTGGTAAATTATTATTATTGTTATTATTATATTGGTTGTTATTTGTTGTTCTATTTTTTAATATGTGATTCAATTTTTTTAGGAAAAAATATTGCATGGCTTGCTGGATCTGCAACTCGTGCACAAATAAATAAAACTTTTGCATTACGTGACAAGTAAGTTGGAATCTTTTATTTTATTTTATTTTATTTTATATTTTATATTTTATCTTATATTTTTATTTTATATTTTTATTTTATATTTTATATTTTATATTTTATATTTATATTTTATTGTTTTAATAGTTTAGGAGATATAGCAGGAAAAACTGGATCTTTAGCAACAACAGCAGGATTAATTGGTAATAATAATAATAATAATAAATATATTATTTTTAGTTATTTCTTTTATTTTTTGATTTATCTTATTGTTAACATATATATTAATCTATATTTAGGAACCGCCTTAGGAGTTATCTTAAGTGCCACAATGACTTCAATACCATTTTCATTTATTCCTAATATTGAACAATTATCAGTATTTTTATCTTCACCCATGACTCCAATTTTTTTATCTTTCATTCCAATTTCAATTTTTAGTATTTATTGTAATTATCGTTCTAATCTTTATATTACCACCAATACTCTTAACATACCTCGAACTGAAATGATCTTACATGATGTTTTAAATGGATATTATTCCTCCAAAGATTACTTATCTAAAAATAATTCTTACAAAGAAGGGAAAGAAGAAGAAATATCAGAACCACCACCTTTGGATTTGCAACAACAACAACCTATTATAAATAAATTCAAGAATCTAATAGCAACACCTAGAAATATATCAACCAGGGAAATATTTGTTAAAAAATATCTTTCTCCATTTAAGATACCATTAACTATTGAACCTGATTTAGATAATTATATTATCTTAAAAGAGCTACAACAAAAACAAGAAAACCTATATAAGAATAAGAATAATTATTATTATGAGATTAATTTATATAATTGTTTAAAACAAATAGGATTTTTATGTCCTGAAGAATATTATATTTTTACTCATACCACTACTAACAATAATAATATTGCTAATACAAATACTACCATAAATACTCATCCTTTTTCACATATTTCGGAAAACAATAGTAGTCAACAAAATAAAAAACATCATGTGGCTATTTGGTTTAGTCAAAATGCAAAATCCAAAGATATTATTAAAGGATTTTATCATGCTTGCGTTATTCGATATATATTGGAACATGAAAAATCATTAGTAGTAGATTTTTTTTATGAGAATTCTTCTTCTTATTCTACTACTACTACTACTAGGGATTATTCTTTTAGTGAGAATTCTTTAAGTAAAGATTCTAATTCTCAAAATTATGATGATAATTTGAATATTATTAGAAAAACTCATGAATGGGTAAATAATTCATTTGATATATTTCTTAATGAACTTGTTGAAAAAAGGTGGGATATTGAACATCATTTTTTGGAAAATATTAGTTATAGTAAAGTAGATGGAAATAGATTATTGGTTGAATTCAAGTAAATATTGTAAATATTTGTAATTATTATATAGTTAGTACTGTATGTACATCATGTATAGAAATTATTTTAAATTTGATGTTTTGATTTCGGTTTTTTTATCTAATAAAAAAAAAATCTTAATTACAAACAAACTAAATGAATTCCTTATAATACTATCTCTTAATAATATAACATCTAAACAATACTTGCAGTATATCTATTTAAAAATACATTTTAATTATAGTTTACAAATTAATTCGAAAGCTAAAGAAGAAAACAGAGGAATGGCAATGGTGTTAAGTTGATATTCCAGTTGGTTCAATTTTGTACCAGCATTATAGTGAAAAAAATCCCTCCTCAATATCCGAGAGACGCCACACAAAAATTCTACTGCATCTTCACTTGATAATCTAATAGATATTCAAAAAATAATATTTACATAATACATTGAGTTAAATATTTTAATTTTTAAATTAGAATTCATACTTCTTTGCATTGTGTGTTGTTGTATTGTGTTCTCGTTCAATTAGTTTCTGAATTGTTATCGGAATAATTTATATTATTTTTTAACATCAATGTTTCAAATATGTATTACTACCTTCGTTTGTATTATTTATTTCATCAAATAAAAACGTTCTTTCGGGCTTCTAGAGAGAATTTATAATTATACAATATAATTCTTATATATCTCACGCAATTCCATTGAACAGGTTCTTTGAAGTTAATGATTTTTAAATTATATTTCGCAAGTGGATTACACAATATTAACCCAAGCATTGTGGCAATAACCACAAAATACCACTATTTGAATTATCCCAAGTCCAAGGATAATAATCACCAACTATTTTGTCAGTTCCTGAAAACTTTACAACCACAAATTGTGTCAATATGTAAATATTATATATTACTTCGAATATTTTACACGTTTTACATCAAAAAAAAAAAAAAATAATTTAACCTTTATTGATGGCATCCAACACTTTTTTTGAATGACTTATTATAATCAAGCGGATAAAATTAGTATTGAAAAATTTTGGAGTCCTTTAGACAATATTAAACTTAATCATTTTTTTTATATCTAAAGACAATTTCTCCATTATTGTTGTATTTATTACATACACTTTCCTTGAATGGCTTGTTCAATATACCGATACAACCAAGTATTAAATCCTTTAACCATGTGTTCTTGAGATTGGTAATTTATGTCCAGATGCGTAAATTTAATAATAAGTACGAGTAAATAATCTAAGTGGATTATATGTATAATACAATACAATTGAATTATCAAATTTATGAAAGAATTGATAATCGATGAAAGTCATTAGAATTATCCACTCTCTTCTTTTTATTTATGTTTAATGAGTTAGAAAATTTGAATTTCCCTGATAATAAAAATAGAATTCCAGTTAAAGGATTTTAGAAGGAATGATATAATTTATAATTAACGAAGAATTATTAAAAAGAAAATGTAATTCGGTTCATCGAAGTGAATAATTTTTGACAGATGACCTTACCGGAATTAATTTAAATATATAGATTATACATATATTAAACCATTATTTATTACTAATTAATTAATTAACAAATAATAATAGTAAAGTCCCAATATCCCTCAGCTGACAATTTAGGTGCCCTGGCTTTCAATGTATAGTTAACTATCATGGAAAAATAGTGTACAGCCAGCCATACATCAGAAACAGGCCAGAACGTTGACCTTCAACTCATTAAGAAACCATAATCCCGTATCCCAAAGAAAGAAATCGATCTTTAGCAGACTGAAGATTGGTTACTTTCCTAGGGAGACGGCAAAACCATTCATTAATAAGAAAGACCAACAATAATTCCTTGAATCTTTTCACCAGAAACAACAATCCCCATTACCCACTAAGAAAATACACATTTGTTTCGTTGCCAAAACAAACCAATAAATTCTTAGCAAGAGATAGTAAAACCATTTCTTGATAAGAAGAAAACTATGAAAGTTCTTAACAAGAAGATATATAATCATTATTGGTGCAAATCGTGCAGCTCTACACATTTCAAAAATAATTTTGATAAATGGACAAGCGGAAATTTCACAATAGATAAATGTATTCAAGATTCCCAACGTAATTCTGAATGTTTTTATATTATAGAATGGATACCCTATAATAGATTTCAAGGTACCAAAACAAATAGCAAAAGGTGGTTATGATACCATTTATTATATTATGTGGGTTGATGGATATATTATATCATGGGGTAATAAAAATAAATAATTTCTAAGAAAAGGTCATCGTAGAGTGGTATTAAAAATGTTTGATGGTATTGTAGATATAAATGAAGATTTTTTAAACGAGGTAAAGTAATATTTTAAATTAAATATTTAATATGTAAATTTATTTGAAAATATGTTATAATTTAAAAAAAATTATGTTATTTAAATGGCAATTCACTTGAGAACAAATGATGATGAAAGTTTGCAGCAGTTTTACTTTATGGAATTACAAAAGATACAAACATTTGATGGTTTTAGAATATCATAAAGGTGGAAATCTTAGAAATTATTTAAATGATTATCTTAATAATATCCATTGGTATTATAAATTATACAATTTAAAAAGTTTAGCTGATGGTTTTGCACGAATTCATAAATTAAATATAGTTCATCGTGATTTCATCCTGGAAATATTTTAAAAAATGAATTTGAAAATTATTCTGGTGTATTTATATCAGATTTTGGATTGAGCAATTTAATTACAGAAAACTTCAAAAATCTCAATCCCCAAAAGAATAACATTTCTGGAGTATTACCATATATAGCTCCTGAAGTATTAATTGGAGGAGAATACACAAAGGCTGCTGATGTCTATTCATTTGCATTTTTTGCTTATGAAATAATTACTAGACTTCCTCCATATAATGATGTGCCGCATGATAAAGATTTTGCTTTTGAAATAAGTAATGGATTTCGACCAAAAATTACATTTCACACACTTAAATTAATAACCCAATTGATTATGCGATCGACCCACATTTAAAGAATTAAAGAAAGAGTTGGACAAATACTATTCGGAATGTGATAAGTGTAGAAATGATAATACTGAAATTGTAATTCAAATTAGAAAAGCCGAAGAATTTTCCAAAAAATCATTGCAAATTATAAAACACATCCTCAAGCAATTCATATCAGCAGACTTAATTTTTCGAATCTTCCAAAACCTAAAAATGATGAAAATTTTGAAAAAAACTTGGAGATCTTTTTATCAAATAAATTCTAGTAAATATCAATTCTATTTTAAATTATATTCATCTCCATTTCATAATTAATTATTTAAGTATATTTGATTTTTAATTTATTTTTTATTTTTTTAATTAGGTGATGATGATGATGATGACGATAATGATAAGGATACATCTAATTTATAAATTTAATTATTGTTATATATTTTTTTATTTATAAATTTATTAAATTACAAAGCATTATTTATTAATTTTTACTATAATAAATTCTTCACACTAAGTATAGAATATAAATTATCATATGAATTCAAATAACTTAGTCCGTAATTAAGATTCTTTTTATTAAATAAAATAACACGATTTTTTTTTACGCTTTAATAATAGAGAAAAGCTGCATTCTTTTCCAAAAAAAGGGAATAAAGAATAATTCATCATTTAAAATGATTTAAAGGTTCTAATACTCTTCTAAATTCATCCACTAATTTCATAAATTAACAATTTGCCGTTGTCTGCTATACCGGTTAATCAAAATTCGAATAAATAATTCTGTATCCGCAGAAAAATTCAAAAGGGCAAAATAAATCATTCCTTAATCTCCAATAATTAAATCTCTTGGAGTGACGAATATATTTTTTATGTTCTTTGTGTATTGTTGCTTGTATGAACGTTTATCTTGTTATAACAACAAAATTGATATTTAGTTTCTTTTCAAGTGAATTCTACACTAGATATGATACGTTAAACAGTGAAGTCATGGACAAATTTATTTTTTTTTCTGCCTTATATAACTTATATTTTAGTATAGAGAATTTCTTCTTTCTATCAATCTACCTATATCTTCTTAGATTACTCACCTTACAGAATTATCACATAAAAAAATCACTACTTTCCTAGTAATACTCAGAGTCTATAATTGTATTAAATAATTATATTGTTACAATGATCTGACCATGATCTTGCGCAAGGGGAAAAATTATTGAAATACTTGTTCATTATTTAAATATTTAAATATATTTATTTATAGAATAGTATTAATCAATTCTATTATAGAAGAGACTGATTCAATTACATATAAAGGGAAAACAATCAATATCAATATCAACCAATATTGACAAGAAAAATCTATTTTACTAACATGAAATTTAATTTATGATCTTTACGATATTTATATCAAAATATTTATTTTTTAAAAAATATAAAATAAGTTCTATGCTCAATCATTATTCTGGTAAGCTTGGTTACTCAATTAAATATATTAGATATGATATTTTACCCTACATGTCGTCGACATTTAAATTTTAACAAAGACATTTATTGTCGTAACTTCATTTTTTTTTGAATTTGACGGCACGTAAGATTTTTCAAAACGTAAATGCTTGCATTTTAAAATGATTTTGATAAATGGATAACAAATGCTGATCATTTTAATAAAGTGATGAATACACGTGAAACTTTAATTTATCCTGTTTAACTTGAAAATTCCTAAAGTTGCTGAATTTCTGTTCAACGTAGTGTCGCGGTCTGCGCAGAACAATGTGGGAAGTCAAGCCAATCAGTCTCAATAAATTTAGGATGATCACACAATAATT